AGCCATTTTCCATTAGTTTTAGTGACCATCACCATGTTGGAGAGCCACTCAGGATATGCTACTTCTCTGACAGCCCCGTTATCTATTAGCTTTCCTACCTCTTTGTCTATAGCTTGGGCCCTTTAAGTGGAGGCGCCCCTTAGCTTTTGGCAAACAGGCTTGTGGCGTAGGTCTACATTGAGACGGTGAATGGCCACTTTTGGGTCAATTCCCTCAAGGTCTGCATGTGACCACGCAAAGACGTCCATATTACATCTCAAGAAGTCTATTAGCGGGCCAACCAGGTCTTTAGAAGGGAAGAGCCGATGTATACTCTTCTGTCTGGGTGCTCCTCATCCAAGGCCAAAGGGGTGAGCTCCTCGACTAGTTCTCCTCTCTTTATGGTGGCGTCATCCCTCGGATCAAGGACCTCAACTTGCAACACTTTTTGTGGCTTCCCGGTCTTCATGGAGGAGACATAACACTCCCTCGTTGCTACCTGGTCTCCTCTAACCTCTTCGACTCCATTCGTGGTTGGAAAGCGGAGGATGAGGTGATAGGTGGAAGGCACAACTCTTTATGTGTTAAGAGCAGGTCGCCTCAGTATAATCTTGTAGGCTGATGGAAAATCTATGACCATGACTGTAGAGCTCCAGGTGGCAGCTCCGGCTGTGACAGGTAGGGTGATGGACCCTAGGGGATATACCCTTTCCCCTGATAACCCAATGAGGGGTGATCTGATAGGCTGCAATCTCTCTCTGCCCAGGTTAAGCTTGTCATAAGCCTCTGCGAATAGGATATCTACAGAGCTGCCACTATTTACCAGGATCCTGCGCACCTAAAAATTGGATACGGTCATGGTGAGCGCTAGGGGGTCGTTATAGGGGTGCTGGATTCCCTCTAGGTCCTTATTTGAGAAAGATATGATCTCGTTGTCGCCCTGCTTTGACACTTTGGATAGGCGTATCTCGTTGAGGTGCCTTACTTTTCTGGCGTGGGCCTTCATTGAAGAGACTAATTCTCCACCTTCTGCTAGTCCTCCCGAGATGGTATGGATCTCCCCCACGGGCTACTGATCTTCTTGATTGTGAGGTGGTGGTGCTCGTTCTCTACCAGCAACATACTGGCGTAGGTGGCCACGGTGGATGAGTTCCTTAATTTGTATTTTGAGGTCATGGCAAACATCAGTGTCATACCCATGGTCACTGTGGAAACGACAGTATTTGTTTGAATTTCTGCGATTTGAAGGAGACTTCATCTTTCCTGGCCACTTTATGGCGGGGTCATCCTGGATCTGGAATAGAATGTGCCCGACAACGACATTAAGGGGAGTGAAGGCTTGTCGATCTCTCTAAGGAGTAGGACCTAATCGGCCTTTGACAGGAACCCTCTCTGTTCTGCCACGTTTGTTGCTAGTCTCCTTCTTGTCTTCTCTCTCCCTTTCCTTCCTCTTTTCCTCTGCTGCTCTGGAGGACTCACCTCGCCTGGCCCTTGTGATGTCCTCAGCATTCATGTATTTCTGGGCCTTTGCTAGTAGTTTTGGCATGCTCTTTGGTGGGCGTTTCATCACTAAGAAAAGGAAGCTTGACAAGCAGAGGCCCCCCAAGAAGGCGGTCATCATCACTTTGTCGTCGGGCTCATCGACTTGGAGTATTTCCTTGTTAAAACGAGTGAGGTAGCTCCTCAAGCTCTTCTTCATGTCCTGCTTTATGCTAAACAGATGGGTGACAGACTTCTGGTGGCGACGCCCCCCAATAAAATGTGATACGAATAACCTGTTCAGCTCAGCAAAGGAGGCGATGGAGGCTGGGAGGAGCTTAGCGAACCATTGTCGTGCGGACCCCTTCAATGTGGTTGGGAACGCCCTACACATGATTTCGTCTGGGACGCTGTGCAACTGCATCAAAGTCTTGTATGTGTTGAGGTGGTCTAGTGGATCTTTTGTTCCATCAAAGGTCTCCACAAATGGCATTTTAAACTTTTTTTTTTTTTGGGGGGGGGGGGGGATAGTTCGCCATGTCAGGTTTGAAGGGCGTGTATGTACGCCTTACTAGGTAGTCTACTGTCTCGGGTCCCTGCGCCTTCATAGCGTTGAAGACGTCATCCAATTGATTTTGCACTTCCTTAATCTTCTCGTCCCACTGGTTGGGGGTCCCCTGGAGTGATCATGGAAATGATTCTCATGCTCTATGCTTTAGTTCTCGCCCTTATCCTCCTGAAGATGAGGGTCCCCACCATAGGAAGCAAGAGGAGGAGGAAGAGGTGGAGGTGGAGGTGGAACTCCCTTGTGATGGGCTCCCCTGTGTGGGGCGCCCAAGTGTGGTGCAATAGGGTTTGGAGCTCCTTGATGCCCAAGGCTTGGAGCTCCTTGGGGTCCTCCATGCTGTGCACCTCCAAGTTGCGCTCCTCCTCGTCCAGCGAGCATGAGTTGCAGTATCTGCTAATTCTGGGCCACCAGCTACTGCATGGTCTCCAGCATTTGCTGTGAATTTGGAGCTGGAGCATTTGAGACAGGGTTGGTGGGTGGAGGAGCAACCTCCTCCTCTCGTGGTGGATTGTCTTCCTATTGGTTCATGGATCTGGTAGTGATCGTCATTGGTTAAGCAAATGAAATGTTCAGGAGTGAGAATTTTGTCATTTTTCCACAGACGACGTCAAACTGATGATGCACAAAATGGTTTTGCACACCACCTGTCAAGAGTGAATAATAAATACAGTAATTTAAAGTAAAGAGATGGAGACACAAGCAATTTATAGTGGTTCGGTCAACTCGACCTACGTCCACTCTTAAATGGCTTGATCGCCGGATACTTTATTAACTCAAGATGTGGGGAGCAGATAGTACAAGCTTTGAGGGAGAGGAGAGAGTCATACTCAGGTAAAGTGTGATGCCCCCAAGTGTTGGTGGGGCGTGCAATTTGTAGTGACCCCCTAACAAGTTGGGACTATTTTACAGCAACTAAGCAACCATTGCGGTAGAGCTCACGACTTCTTCTTTCCGAGCAAGGTGGTTAAGATACTCTCCATCAGATGCGGTCAAGGATAAGATGAGGGTGAACTATTTCCTTGGCGGTGCAAATAAGACTCTCATGCTCTCTCTCTCTCTCTTGATGACGTAGCCAAACTGATAAGACTGGACTTAGACAATATTGGATTTAGTGGGTCTTTATAAGACTGGGCTCTTCAATTAAAGTTTGAATTTTTCAAATAAATTGGGTTCTTCTTGGGCTTGACCCATCAAATATGTATACATACATACATATTTAATTGAAAGAAATTATTTATATATATATATATTCATACTTAGTGAGATTATTAATCAAATTGACATAAAACTAAACATAAATTATTGAATAGAATGATTGGTTGATTAATTTAAGTTGAAACTTAACTTAAATTTTGTAAAATTATTAATTTTTTATGAAACTTTGTTAGAATTCAAATTTTAAGATCAGATCGAGTAATCAGATCATATATCCAATTATTAATCAATACAGATATGAATTAAAATTTTGAAATCTGTATGATAAACGGATCAAATTTGAAACTCGATTTTTTTATTAGATTAAGATCCGATTCATTGACAGCCTATTAGCAACCCCTTGGGGTAAAATCATAAGAAATTTATTTCTCATGAATACTCTAATTCCATTGTGGATGACCTGATTTTGATCGGACCAGAAAAGAGATCAATCGAGATACGTGTAAACTGATCTAAAAATTCTTCACCGTTTTACTAAAAAAGAATAAAATCTGGTACAGTAGACTTTTCCCATATAAAAAGACGTGGATGACATATATACAATTACAAAGTTGCAATAAAGACATACAATTATAAAAATAGAAGTGTCAAAAATAATGATATAATAAAAAAATAGTGAATTTAATTCTCAACAATAAAAAATAAAAAAAAATTCAATCACGCCCCTTCATTACCTTATCTTTAAGCATACTCTTCTATTATTAAAAACATCACTGACACTTATTCTAATAAATATTTAAAAAGTCATTGACACCCCTGCTATTAAACGACTATTTATAATAAAAAAATATATAAAATACTAAAATTACCCCTACATAAGCTCTAATTTTTTTTTTGTAGATATTAAAATTTGAGTGGGTTAAAATTCGATTCAAATTAATTAAAATTAATTTTTTACTTATTGGAATTCGAGCATATTAAAAGGTTTTTTTTACTTATTAAAATTCAAGTCAATTTGAGTTTTACTTGAACTGTTAGCCCCGATTAAAATTTTTTTCGAGTCTATTAAAATTTATATTTTTTTATTTATTAAAATTTGATTCAAGTTGATTAAAATTTATTTTTTATGTATTAAAATTTGAGTCGATTAAAATTTATATTTTTTATATACTAAAATTCAGGCTAATTAATATTTAATGCGAGTCGATTAAAATTTGATTTGAGCCTAGAATATAATTTCAATCAACTAAAATTTTAATAAGTAAAAAATATATAATTTTTAATCGATTCAAATTTTAATACATAAAAAATAAATTTTAATTAGCTCAAATTAAATTTTAATTGGCCAAATTTTAATACATAAAAAAAATTAGAAAATAGATGGAATCTTATTGAAGTTATGTCTATCTACTGGGAATTTGGATGAAATTTTTCATAAAATATATCATGGGCAATTTAATAATATTATATTTTAATTACCATCTTTAATCTGACAGGAGTGTTAGTAAAGATATAAAAAATAGAAAGAGTGTCATTAAAAATACGATAAATTAGAAAAAGATGTGACCGAAATTTTAGCTAAAAAATATAAAATATTGTTCTAAAAAATAATTCTTCAATACTATAACTGGACCGCAGTTGAAATTTTCAATTTGTATAAAGTCAACTTCTGTCTCGCTCCAACAAGCAAACCCTCACCTTGGATAGCGACAAACAAAGTTTCGAATTCGAACCGGAAAGCCCGCTGTCCAACGCAGCTGTTGACCTTACATTCTATAAGATGTTGTTCAGATTCAATATTGTTATAGTAGGAGAGTAGGTTTTGTGTGAATTGTTTGATCCTAATCTCCTCCAAAACTCTAAAATCTACTTTAAAGAAGAAAGTAATAATTAGTCACTGTTCTTGTATCAAAACATGTCAATCTTGGGCAGCAACAGCAATGGTGCAGATATGGGTACACCATTTTTTCATGAATTCAAGAAACAAGCTTCTTTCTTTTTGAAGGAGAAGATCAAGACTGCCCGATTGGTTCTGACCGATGTTACTCCTGCTCAATTGTAAGTTTGTTGATTATGTAGTATACCAAATAAGTTGATGATCAGTTTAAATTATAGTGGCCATTTTTTATCTGTGTTGTGTTTTCAATTGGGTCTTTGAAGATTGACAGAAGAAGCCACAAATGGAAATCCAGGGGGGCCGGACGCTCGTACCCTGAAGATGATTTCCCGTGCTGCTTTTGAAGTTGATGATTACTGGAGAATCGTGGAGATCCTGCACAAGAGGTTTTTTTAATGGATAAAAAATCCGATTATTAATGGATACTGATGTGTTTGATCATGTTGTTTCCATGTGTTTATAATATGCTGTTTCATTTTTTTCGATTTATGATTCAGATTGTTGAGGTTTGATAGAAAAAATTGGAGACTATCCTACAAGGCTCTGATTGTTGTAGAGCACTTGTTGACCCATGGACCAGAGAGTGTTGCAGAGGAGTTTCAAAGTGATAAAGATGTTATAGGGGAGATGGGAAGCTTTCAACATATTGATGAGAGAGGGTCTTCATTTAATTTCCTTTTTTTTTTTTTTTTGGCTTCTTGTGGCTTCTGTTTCTAAGTAGTGAGATTGATTGTTATCAATTTGGATTTTTGATGTGTAGATTCAATTGGGGGTTAAATGTCAGAAAGAAATCTGAGAGGATATTGAAACTGCTTGAAAAAGGGACACTTTTGAAAGAAGAGAGGAATCGAGCTCGGAAGCTAACCAGAGGAATTGAGGGGTTTGGGAGCTTCTGCCAGAGGACTACTTCAGGACAAGGAATTCTCAAGGACTCTTCATTGAAAACATATGGAAGGTGTAATTCTCAGTTTAACAATCATGGAAACCAGGAAGATCAGTTTTCCTACTCGAGCAACGAAAATCAGACCCAAACATGGCCTGAAAGATCACAACAGATCCATGATGAGAAAGTCAATTCATTGTTCAGCAAGAAAGTGGAGAATTTAAACTTTTGTGATAGCTTTAGTAGTCAACAGAAAGTCGAAAGCTTCAGTTCTGCAACGAGTCTGAAAGAAAATATGGCTCCTAGCAAGGAAATTTTCAATGGTCACTTGCATGAATGGAGTTGCACCGGCGAGTCGAAGCCTCTTTTGAATGCAGAGAAAGATGGACCCAGGATTGGTAATTCTGAAGAAGATCACCCATTCAATGATGCTGAAAATCCAAGCAGTGTCTCATTGCTTTCCAGTACAGATCAAATCTTGCAAGCATGTTGAGAATCACTGAATCAGGGTGTGGTAATGAGGTTTTTGTTAGTCCTATCACCACGTATGTGGGATTCATAGCTAGATTGTCTGTAATGTTGAAGTTATATCAGATGTGTGGTTTCTGTCATCATGTTACAGCAGGCACTGTTTGATTTTATGTGGTGGATTTGTCAATACCAAGTTTTGTTGTGTTTGGTAAACGAATAGAAAAAAATAATGCTGGTAAGCACTTATTAACTCAGTGGTGGTAGAGTAACGCCATTTTAAGGCGAGTAAGTCATCATTTCAAATCCGATAAGGTACTTTGACTTTTTTAATAGTTTTGTATCATCTTCTAAAGCTTGAAGAATTTCTAAAGGTCGGCGTATTCAGGCCACCAATAAGCCTCATTTTTCTGTAGAAATTCAATCAGCTGCATGGTTCCAAGTTGGATTTGCTACTAGACCTCTGTGTTTTAGGATGACAACGATGCAAGTAAATTGCTTTTATTTTAACCAATTCGTGTAATGGAATTTACGATTAAACTTAGAACACTGTGGAATACTGCAACACTGGTACAAAGTCCAAACTAAACTAAGGAATGTGTACAAAAACCATCAAACCTAAAATCCAGAGAGAATAACTGGCAAGAACAGTTCTTTCTCTTTTATCCATCATGCTCCACCTCTTAATATTTGACTAACTACAGGATGAATCTGCAACAGATTGCCATAGTAACAGATGACAAGCATTGCCTTTCCTTCTCTGATTGCTGTCATAAGTATGCGTAACATGTAATCTGGCCAATTAGTGATTATGGCACGGTCAACAACGCGCCAACTGCTGCTTTTCTTGAATGACATACACTAGTAAAGTAGGGACACCTCTAAGTAAACCTTTATACATGAATGAGTACCAGGGATTTCATGCACCATGCTGGGGATTTCAAGATTGGCAAAGCCAGTCTTGAATTGCAAGTCGCAAAGCATGGTTGGGAGTGAGTTGCAAATGACTCAATTTCAAATTGGTCATTGGAGAAGTTTCACGGCCATTTTCCAACCAGTCACGTAAGGCTTCTCCTTCGTATGTGAACCCATCAGCTGCCACCTGAGGGTCATGCATTATCTCCTGCAAGCAATTCACCAAGTGTAAGCCTTGTACAGCAAAGATAACATCTGTACCACTATAACATAAGCTGAAAAGACTAGAAAATAGATGTCACATAATTTACACACAACCTATATAACCATGTAATTATTAGTAGGCAAGCCACAATCGCTTCTGCCTATAACCGAAGTAAAATGGGTGGGCATAGACTAATCAAGTGGAGCCTACTAGGCAATTCCATCACAGCTTGGTTGATCTACATCGGTTTATGGCCACCGCAAGCATCACCCAAGCTCTAGTAGCCTTCTTAAAATTTGCTTAGCATTTGTTCAAATTGCAGCAAGTACAAACTTTCTTCATGAGTATTATCATAATCAAGCTAGTCCATGAGCCTACAGTTACTAAGTCAAAAAACAGGTACTACTTCAAGCTCATGCACGAGGATCAAAGCTACACCTAGTACCAGCTTCAGGAATTAAGCTACCCCCCCCCCAAAAAAAAAAAAAAAAAAAACTCCCAAGATCCATCATTGACTACAGCACACGAAGTATATTTAATATTAAGAAAAAAGGCAAACGAGGAACCAGCTTGGAACCACCAGCTGGATCTAATCTTTTATCAGTTTGTCTCTGGTGGAAACTGTTAATAGCAAGCTCAAGTTGTCATGAGTTGCTTGCTATGCAATCATCCACACCAAAAATTGGTGTATTTTCAGTAACGGCACATGCAATGGAAGAGCCACACAACCTTTTCCATGACTCAAAAGCTGTTGGCCTACTTCGTCAATCACTATCGACTGGATCGACTGGAATAGGTCCATTAATCAACCTAGTCAGCCTAGGAAGTATTACTCACTTGAAGGATGGGGCACAAGAAGAAGGCTGGTACTAATCGCTCTTCCAAGACATGCAACTGCTCCAGTTCCCTCAAAAGAGTTGGTGTTAGCTCAGGCCTTTCTCTACTATTCAATTCACAGCATTGCAACCCCAGGTCCACCAATCTCCTAGACACAAATGTAGGCCATTCTCCAGCAGATGAATCCAGGATGGATGTTAATTTCCCACATAACATTGCTTTACGCACTTCAGCAGCCAATCCGGCAGAAGCCCTTGCGGTGAGTAGCTGAAGAATGATTAACCCAAAAGAGTATGTATCAGACTTAGCTGTCAGGACTCCGGTTCTGTGAAACTCAGGATCTGTATATGAGAAAGCACCCTTTGGCTCAGTATACTGACGGAAACTTGGGCAGCGGAGGGCCTGCTGCGGGACCAACCTGCAAATTCCAAAATCACATATTTTGCAGCTGAGTTCAGAGTCAAGAAGGATGTTTTCAGGCTTCAAATTGCCATGTATGATCTTTTCAGGTTTGGAAGTGTGCAAGAACAAAAGGGCACTTGCAATTTCAGCAATCATTCGTGCTCGGGTATTCCATTTCAGGGAATAAATGTTGCTCTTCCGAAAAAGGCGATCTTGGAGGCTACCGTTTGGCAAGTACTCATAAACTAGGGACCAGGCTTCTACACATATGCCAATCAAGCCCACCAAATGAGGATGTTGTAATTTTCCAAGAATTTGAACCTGCATATAAAAAGGTAAGTTATACTAGGTAAGCAAGCAGTCAAGTCAACAAATCAAGAGAATCCAAGTAATTTGAGAGCCATGTCTTACTACAATATGCTCTTCAATTTTTCAGATTTTACGTAAGCAAGTCATTGCACGTTGTATCTCAGAAAATCAGATAATTGAACCCATCATAATGTGTTTCCCACCAAGGAGGTTCCCTCAACAAAGGCCATTCCAATGGCATGATCTATACATCCTACTATGCTTTCAGTAGTAGTTAAAATTTTCTAATAGGTAATCAGAGAGAGCCATATAAGATATTCAACCGAGAGGGTAAAAAATTTCAGATTGAAAAAACAAGATATATTTTGCCTAGTACCTAACAAAAGCTACAAAGACAAGAAATTTATTGAATCCGGTGTGTATGCCAGTGCTCATGTGCATGCATGTGTGCCAGTGTGAAAGAGAAAAGAAAAGGAGGGGGGGGGGGAATGGAAGTCGACCTCTTGCTGAAACTCCCCTTGCATGTTATGTGGATGTGGCTTCTTTATAGCAACGGTTCTGTTTAACATTTCCCCCTTATAGACGGAGCCATATCCTCCCTGCCCAATCTTAAAGCTCTCTGAAAAATTGCATGTTGCTGTTTGCAGATCTGACAATGAGAATTCTGTTAACTCAGAGAAATCTCCGATATATCCGATGAACTCATTGAAACTTTCACCTCCATCTTGTCCATGATTTTTCCACCGATCAAGCCAACGGGTAGCTTGTATTTTCTGCCTCTGAATTTTCTGCTTTTCATGCCGCAGAGTTGCAATGGATGCTTGAATGACTTTTAGTTCACCAGCAGCCTCTTCACGGCGGCGGTTTGCTTCCTGTGCACGACTGTCTAGCAGAGCAATATTTCGCATGGCCTTATGTAGCTCTTGAGTTACTGCTTCTCTTTCTTCCAAAAGCTTTTCTTGTTCCTGTATTGTAGTTCTCAGTGCATTTTCAGCCTCTTTTCTAAGTTCAACTTCATGTGCATTAGCAGATTCAAAAGCTTTGACCTAAGGAGATTAAAAACAAAACTTATAAAACAAAATTTATACTAATAAAAAGAAAGATTTGCAAGTTTTCCAAAGTTAAATTTTCAAGTCATCATAAATGCTGCAAGAAAGCTTGATAAAACAGGCCATATGCTTCTTAACATTTTCACCGTCTCAACAATGGATTTAAAGTTAAAAATAGGCAAAGATGGTGCAAAATGTATGGTGCACTGCTAAAATTCATCATGTTGATTTGTGTTAAACTGATAGAAATGAAAATTTGAAAATCCTTCACGTGGTAGGAAATGGAATTACTGGTGACTGGTCATGAGATGCCAACTTCTATTTTTTCTCTAAAAGTTCAAAGCATTTAAAAAATTGGATCAAGGGTTCTGCTGTAATTGACACAAAGTGGAGCAGAGATCACTGAAGTGTATCAATATGGTGACATCTTGCAGACCTTATTCTCCTGGTGTCTGTGATCACATTTCTATGGTAGCAGTTAAATTTTTCTATAACTAAACAGTTCATACTCATAGGGCAACTAGTCAAGAAATCTTTTATCAGGTCACCATTTGCATACTGAAGAACATAAAGTTTCAAGTGTCACCAACGTGAATGGTCATCTTATGACTTCAAAAATAACTAAGAAGACAAATTTTAACTCCTCAAATGACATGAAATAATTAACAATTTACCTTGTTAATAGCTTCTACAGCTTCAGCTTCCAATTTTCTGCACTTCAAGAGTCCTGCAAATGCCTCATTCCTTGATGCTTCGGTTTCTAATGTTGCTTCTGCAAGCTGATTACATAAACTCTCTTCCTCGATCATGGTGTCAGAATCTGAAGACAACCTTTGTTCAGCAAATGAGGTATATCCAGAACCAGAGCCAGGGCTTTTCGGACCAGATAAACTGTCAAAATAATGTGGACTGCATCTATTTGTAAGACTTGGCACAGTAGGCGATAAAGCCATTTCTGTCTGAGCGGCCGCACCCTGAACCCAATTTTTTATTCCAGCACAGAATATACCTCTAGCAGAGATAGAATGAAGGCATTCTGGATGAAATACAACCTCACTCTTATGACCCTGCAAAGATCGAGACCTTAAAGTGAATGCTGTACCAGATTCTAATTGAGTAATCGGTGGCGAAGAGCTTGGCCCTTCAGTAGCTTCTCTAGTCCACACAAGTTTCCCTTTCTTGACAAACCATATCTCACAGAATGATGGAGCATTTTTGGTAGCATGAGTCGCTTTTCCAGAGCTTTTTTTCCCCTTCATGCAACTGTGTATAGTTATTAGGTTTGTATTCCATGAGAGGAAACTTCATTGTGAATTAATGTCAATATAAAAACACACAGACAAGCAGTGGACTATAAATGCTTTTGGAAAGCACACGAGGTAGTAGAAAAAAAATGGACACCAAAGTCTCAGCAATCCATTTTCAAAGCTCAAAATGCAATGTATCCACACTACCATACAGTATGAAACGCTGAATGTCGAGTTCCAAGTAATGAATAAATGCTTAATACAGACTACACATGATGTGTTTCCAGTTATGTACCACACTCACAACTACATATTTGATTTCGTAAAAACAAGTATCCACTTTACAGGTTCATACTCACAAAAAAATATTAGCCAGTTGCCGTAACACAATATTGTTACATTAATGACTGGTGCAAAAATTTTTAATGACTTGCTTGCAAGAGTATGTAATTAGATCCTCCAGGCACAATTCAATGTCCAGTACATTCAACATTCCCTTTTAGGTTTGTTCCCTGCATATATAATCTTTCATTGTGCCATCAAATATTTCACGTTGCCCTTTCTTCCCTTCAGAAATGCCCTCTAAACTCATTCAAAGTCAAAGTACCACAGATGAGGTGTAAGTAATTCTGATCCTCGCTTCTCCCCTATGACATTTTGGCGTCTCTTTGTGCTTGATTTTTTTCTCATTAATCTGTGCGGATAAGAAGAGGTCATATGAAATATATGCAGATACCACTGTATACTGATATTGAAATATTGAGTGGACCACAAACCTTCAAACTAAATTACAATTTGAGGCCTACTATGTCTTAGCCTAGCCAGTGTGGGCAATTATATTGTGAGGCCAAGCTTGTCCAATTTCCGTAAAAGGACATCTTTAGAGGAAATTTCTGTGCATAGGTAGGCCCAGGGATCAATGCTCAGTTGAAAGAGTCCATCCCTGTGGCCTATCATTTGTTGGGCAATCCAGCTGGTGGCTCCTACATCTCCTCGTCTCTACTGGGGCCCTTTTAAATCTGTCAATTAAAAAAGTGGGTAACCATCTCGAAAAAATCAATATCGTCCTAGACTGCTGTATAGCCTACTGTCAATGGTCAGCAAACTGAACTCAGAGTTGCTCGACACACCACCAGCCCATGGCACAACAATCAGGTCAAGCAAAGCACTCCGACCAAAGGGGCGCAAAGATCATTAACCTATAGAAGATATGTAAGCCTACGCTTAGCATACCAGAACATGGTCTACGGCATTACAGTTCCTGTTCCAAGGACCTGAACATTCTGCGTTTGAGGTAACATTAACTATACCTGGATGTGACTCCTGTTACTCAATTGTACCTTGGCCTATCCAGAAAGTTAAAATATATATAATGGGCAAACAAAAGGCAAAGGTGACAATTGCAGAAAAGTGCCTGGGACTGTATGTGTGTAAACAGTGAAGCATTCATTTATTTTAGGTAAATAACAATGAAGCATTCATTTTAAGTTTCCCCTCAAGAAATTATTTGTTTTGATAAAAATTATCCAAACCAACTGAAAAGGTCCAAATGCACATCAGTGTTCGGACAGAGAGTAAATATGAACACTGTATACAAGAATCCAATCTGGCACAGTAACGCAACTAACCAAAACAGCCTCACAAAGTTGAAACCGATACCATGCATCACAAAAGGCAACATTTCCAAGAAGGCATTGTTTGCAGCTCAACAGAAATAGAGAATAAAGGTGAACCACTTACTTCTCTGGAATAGCTCCCATAACTAGTTTTCTAATGCCATGCTTGTTTACTAGATCAACAATTCCTTCTTTAACTTTGTCAGCTTCGGTCGTAATGATGCTTGCTTTAACCTGCAAAGTAATTGCATTTCCTAAGATCACTACGCTGAACAACAGAAGGTATAATGAATATCTGATCTTCATTGTCTAAGGTTATTATTAAATTTGAATGAAAGAAGGCCAGATCTATGAAGATTGATTGATTTGGATGACAAGAATCTCGGTATGATGACTACCATTTACTAATCTATTTCACTCTACATACAATAGCTTTACAAATATATTTTCCAAGAAGGTTTTCCTAATGCTTGGTGACCAAAGATGAAGTTCATCACCAAAGTTGAGTTCCGCAAAGAACAGTTCATCAAAAGAAAATTCATGCCTCACTGAGTCACATAAGCCAATTTAGGATTTACCATAAGATGCCTGTGCAATGAAACAAAGAAGTCCAACCTAATAAGGGGAAAATAGCATCCCAAATGTTTACGGGAATCCAATTTAATCACTTTAGAGAAACAGAAATTTCCTCAAATGCTGCTAATCAAGGTTTTTGAAAAAATAAACAGGAACTACTTTTACTAAACACAAAATGGAGTCTCATGATCAAAATATTAGGTCAGAAAAATGAAAACTTGAAAAAAAAAGGGGTTACTGTTGTTATTAAGTATTTGTTGGAATGAACATGATGCTCAAATAGTATGCTGATAATTATGTAACAGTATTCAGATGACTGAACACATGGATAACGAGCCTACATCATTGAAATGAAACAATAGAGGCCACCTTTTCTCCATTCTGATGTATGACATTATTCGCTAACTCCTTATGCTGCTAAGTCGAAACCAGTAAGGGGATCCAGAGAAATATCAAGAATCTAGTTTCCTATAGTAACATATCATCCTTAAGGGAAGCTAGAACAGATGGGTCTACTTGCAGACACTGTAAAAGATTCTGGAAACCAGCAATATAAAATCCCTAGTCACTAGTGCTCAGGGAAGCTAGAACAGTTGCTAATTATCTTATGAATATCAGGCATAAAATTGAATGCAATGGACTACTAATATCAGGAGGTAAAGGAAATAAACAATGGCTAGAGACTGGAAACCAAATTCTTTACATCTTACTTGCATAGAATGAGATTAAAAGGGTAGCCCATTGCACGAAACTCCCACTACTACAGAGTCCGGGGAAGTTAGATGTGCACAGTCTTACCAGGTTACAATGGAGCAACCATAGTGTTTAAGTCAAGCCCCACCCTCACTTGCATAGAATGAAATTAAAGACACTAATCATTGTGAAAAAGTCCTTTTGTAGTAAATTACTTGAGCACAAATAAAGTAACGTTATTACAACATCAAGAGATAACTTTCTGGAAAAAAAAACATCAATAGATAACCATTAGTAAATTTGATACTGCCAACTTCAACTATCATTACCGTTACTGTGTTACATTGTCACCACATTGTAATCGAACCAAATGCTTTATACATAATCAGATATGATTATTTCATCCATATTAACAGATGGGCATTAAATGAGTATAGCCTATGTAAAAAATGTTTTGCAATGAATAAACTGAAATTAGGATGAATAGTAGATAAGTCAAAGATGCCAAATGACAGTGTTTGGTATAATTATTGTTCTAAGCAACATCATAGCCGTATATAAATTGGAGAGAAGAAACACCTTTGATCTGGAGCATATGCTCAAGTAATTTAGTAGAAGTTTCCTCGTCTGTTCTCTCTCCTCCCTTCTATATGCAGACACCACTTCAGGATTTGCTTGACTTACTGGTAGTTTTCCCACTGCATAACAATGAGTTAGGAGTTATCACTGAATGACAATTCCACTCTTACGCAAGTTAATCAAGCATATATTACTGAAAATGGTGGAAAAGCAACAAGATTGCGTGTTTCATTTTGTTCGCCTCAGCTATTACACAGCGGTTGGGCAGAATATATTTGTTTCTTTTGTTTTGATCTGGCCCAATAAACCTAGGCTCAAATAGGGTTTGCTGGCTGTTGAGGAAATGTAGAAGAGGAACACAAATTAGAACTTAAACCCAAAACCCTTTCGCAAAAAGAAATATGAATTGTATTCCTTTTCTACATTTCCTCAACAGCCAGCAAACCCTATTTGAAAAGATTAACGTCAAACAAAATTGACATGCTGTTCCCAAAAAATAAAAAAATTGAAACTCAACAGCAAGAGCAGAAGAACCCAAAAGTCAAAATCAATCAAAAAAGCATAACATACATTTGTGAATTCACGAACACCATATAGACCCCTTAGCAAACATTACATCTACAGAAACATGTATATATGAGAATATATGGCAGAGCGAGCAAGGGAGAGAGAGAGACTTACAGAGAGTAGGAATTAGATGAGAAGGCTGATGAACATGAAGAAGACAAATTACTCCGTTCCCAAACCTCCCAAAAGTCCAATTAAGCAAAGCAACGGCCTTGTCCACCGACTTTCCGACAGCCACGTGTACCTTCTCGCCACCTTCTTCCACAATTTCCGGCAACTGAGAAGTGACCGTCCGACTCGCCCGGTCAAACCCATGTCGGAAATCCACCGGCGGTGAAAACCCAGAAAATAGATTTTCAGTTGGGTCAGGAGGGTGAGTTGGGCTCAACAGCTCCATTACGCCTGAAAATTGATAACTTTGCCAGAATACTTTTAACTCCGGCAGCCGACTGGTATATTTTTGTATATTCTTTGCTTCGCAGGGGAAGATTTGTCACTTGTGGTGGTTGATGTATATGGTGATGGATGGTGATGTATGTCGAAGTAAGATTCTATTTGTATTGAAGCCAACTCCCTATTTGTACTGATTTCCTAAAGTTGTGTTGACTTTGGCTGACTCGACTACCGTAGTTACTGACTGGATCTATGGCCCCACACACAAGAGACAAGGAAGTTGGGCGGTTGAAATTTCATTAATGATGGTTGAATGACCGAAAATGCTATTGGCATATTCTTCCACTTTCAATTGGGTTGAGTGGTCTAGTTTCGTGTCATGTTTTAATAAGTTTGTGTAGAAATGTCAGTCGTATCATATTATTTTTGATTTTGTTATCTTATGTCAAATTATTTTTTATGCATATTGTGTTTGCGTTAATATTTGTATTAATACAAAATTATTTAATTTCACAATAACTCAATAATATTATTTAAAAAAAAATTAAAATATATATATATATATATATATATAATTCTTATTTTTTGTCTACAATATTAGTTAAATACTTATTTTTTATCTACAATATCGGTTATACATGTCAAACCTTAATTTTACCCATTTATTACTCGTGTCAACTAATCGTGATGTTTTCAAGTTTTGTATCTAGTCGGATTCGTGTTAATGAAAAAAATTGACACCCCGTTCGTGTTAAAAAAATATTCTACTCATACACGATTCATTTATTAATTCATATTTAACGAATCGTATCATATTCAGTTTTTATTGTATATTAATCGTGTATAACTAATATATAAACGAGTCGTATCGTATATTTCTTCTGATTAATTTAATTTATACATAATTCGTTTATTAATCATGTCATGTTGGATTCATTCATTCACTAAGCGAATAACTTAAAAAAGATTCAAACTCTCTAATTTCATGTCATTTTAATAAGTTGTGTTATATTTTAACACTCTAATCACAATCATTAAAGTGATAAATTTTTTTTAGTAAATTTTAAATTTTATAATTAAATTAATAATAATATTATTATATCAATATTTTAAATTGAGAGTAATATTGCTTGGAGCGTTGACAAATAAGCCATTAGTCAAGCTCAGCTCATTCATTAGAGAAACTTTTTAAAAAAAATATAATAGGAGTATCAATTGTGAAGTGTCGTTGTAGCACCCGTGTGCATAGACCCAAAGAGACAAATAAGCTATTAGCCAGACTTTTATCGTTTATTACAAAAATTTGTGAATAAAGTATAAATAGAGGTATCAGTTGTATTGTGTAATTTTTGGTTATTTTATTTCCAGCTATACCGTTTTTAATTATTATCGTTTTCATGTTTACACAAAAATTATTTAATTCTCAAACAATTTATATGGTATTATGTAAAAAAAAATTATATTTTCTACTTATAGTATCAGTCAGCTATTTTCTTTGTGCTAACCTTAATTTGACTCATTTATTATTCGTATTAATTAATCATCATTTTTGGAGTTTTATTTAATATAAAATTGACACCCCTAAGTATGAGTTTGATTAATTAAAAATAATTAATTAATTATGATTGAAAAGATTCATTTGTAGATCTGAAAGATAAATGATAGAAAGTGGTTGGGAATGGAGAGTAGGGAGACGGTTGATTAAAAAGTTAACAAAGAATGATTTTAAGGTTACCAAACTATGATTGAAAAAGTGTGAGTTGTAATGTCAAATTTAACGGCTAAAGAACTCAAAAAAAGTCAGCTAAAGACAGAAGCTTCAAAAAGACAAGCATGTTGCACAATATTTGATTGAGCATCTAAGCGTGAATGACGGGGCAATGTGTCACATGCATCACCACAATACAAACAAGAACAGAGAACATAAGAAAAGAACAGATTGTTCTTTCTAGTCCTGCATTGCTTCATAAGAAAAGAACAGATTGTTCTTTCTAGTCCTGCATTGCTTCATAAGAAAAGTCTAGACGATTTTTTCTATTTATTTATAGAAAGGGCATAACACTACAATACCCGGAGAGGTGTATTAAAGGTCTCTACATTATTATTTGAGTTGAGATGATAGGTGTATGTAGGGGTGCAACTCAAAAAAGGTAAATCGAAACTCAATATGAAAAAAAATCAGTCAAAGTCATTTTATTTTGTCGCCACTTATGAAAGGTCAAGCTGACACAATAGGCATTGCGATGCAAAGAGCTTTGCTTGGAGAAATAGAAGGAACATGTATCACACGCGCAAAATTTGAGAAAATACCACACGAATATTCTACCATAGTGGGTATTCACGAATCAGTACATGAAATTTTAATGAATTCGAAAGAAATTGTATTGAGAATTAATCTATATGGAACTTGCGACGCATCTATTTGTGTCAGGGGTCCTGGATATGTAACCACTCAAGATATCATCTTACCGCCTTATGTCGAAATATCTGAAAATTTGATCTCTCACATTCAATACGTCCTTTTTTTTTCTTGCTGGTTAATAGAGTAGTCAGGGACGATCAGACGTAGTAACCTTCTCAGGATATTACCTTGAGGTTCTCACTCATTGTAGAATGTTTGGTTTGAGTCAAAACTATTGATTTTTAATAGTTGAGCCCATCACCACAGCACCACCAACGACAAGTTAAACATTTAGTCCCTCCAATAATATCTGATTCATAAGGAATACAACAAGAAGTGGATTCAAAGGTCATGGAGAAGTGCGAGATTTTCACCTCTATTGAAGCCAACTAGACTAGCAATTCAGTGGTATATTCAATATGCCCTAATGCTATATATTCATTTCCAATTTCCAAAAAAAAAAGCAAAAAAAAAAAAAAAAGCATGTTTATGCTATATAGTAGAAATACTTGCCAAACAAGCCTTTGCCAAGACTCAGTGGTAGGCTTGCATGTGACGTGCAGATTAGTATTGTCTAGAAAAGTCCCAATTGCTTTAGCCAACCTAATGAAGACTATCACGGGGAAACATCACCTTCTCCTCTTGTCAGCAATGGAGTTTGAATATCTGTTTCTTTCTATTATCTCCTTGACCATGTCGTGTTACGACTTTGACATTAAAAAATTTTCAGCCCATGTAAGTCATTCTTTCAACATTTTGCCAATCGACTAGTCAGAATTTCTTATGTGCCCCTCTTTTAGGTTTAATGACATTGTCTTTTTGAGTGTTTTGTTATTATTGTGTTGTTTGAAATAGTCGATTCTCGGTTATAATAGTAACTTCCAGATTTATATGAAAAAAAAGTCATTACAACTAAAATAATCTTGCTAAAAATTTGTACTATATATGTATACATTATATATAAGAGAAACAACAAATTATTCTACCAAAATTTCGCTTTTTCAAGAAAAATGGGCAAATTTTGGAATGTCTCCATTACAATACTACAGTTTAAAGTAATAATTCGATTACTTGGGTTTTACTGTTTTAGTATGGTCAAGAATATCATGAGTTTTGTTTTATTAAACCCGTCGTGTTCTTTCATGTATTTTTCCTTATTCGTGTTCTATCCAAGAAGTGCAGATTGATTAAAATCGATTGTAATGTCAATGCATCTGTATTTATGTACAAAAAAAATCACTTTCCCTGCATATCAATTTAAAGGCATTGAATCAAACCTGATTAAATTAACAACAAATCATCGAAATGGTAGAAGTGAACAGCCTGAAAAAAGGACAATTACTTTCCAAAGAAACAAAAGATAACCCCTCAAACACTAGACAGCAAACCTTAGATTGCCTGCACGGGCTTATTAGTTGGGTCTTCCAACCACCCTACCTAATTTGTACGTCTTATATAGTATTATTCCGAGGTTGATTGTTAAAATAAGACGAAGTTAAAGCTCAAAAAACTAAACCCAGGCTGACCACCAACCCAACCACCGCAACACCATCACAATGGTTGGGCTCAGGAGGGAACTCCATTTAAGCCACCAGTATATTGAACCTTCCGTCAATCATAGAAAACACATGTTCAAACCATAATTGGATCATATATTGAGATTAGCATTGAAGGCCAAAAGTTCTCAACTGCTCATGAAAACATGATTTAAAAAAAAAAAAAAAAAAGAACTAGATTTTTCTGCCATCCTTCCACCAGTCTCTTTTGATCATTGTATTTGCAACAACATGATGACATGAAAGTTAAAGAGAAACAGGGGTAGAGAAGAAATTGTGGGCAGCAAATTCTTTCCCGAAAAAAGAATTATACAATTCTTCCACACCTCCCATCCTGAAGAATTAGAAGCATTTTCGGTGCACAATGGCAGGTCCTGATTCATCATACTCTGCCTTTGCAATCCACATCTGCATTCCAAATATGAACAATCGTTCTTTAGTAATCCTAGGGAACATCTGCATTACATTGATTTTTCATAGAATAGTTGTATATAATTGTTACTAGGTTGAAAAGGAAGAAGTGTATAGAAGAAACAGAGATCCTGTTTAGTGTACATCTCAAAAAACAGTATCTGAAAATTATTTTTATGAAGAGTTTTAAGAAAGTGTTTTTAAAAAAATTTAGATTGCAAAACCTGTTTAGTTATATATTTTTGAAAATAATTTTAAAAAACAAAAATTATAAAATTTGTTTAGACAATAATCTACAACTTTCACTTCTCTCTCTCTCTCTCTCTCTCTCTCTCTCTCTCTCTCTCTCTATGCATCAAGACCCACAAAGCACCTGCAACCCAGCCGAAACCCACAACCACCACCGAAGACAACCCACCCAAAATCCACAAAAAAACGACCCACAAACCAACAAAGACAACCCAACCACCCCCGAAATAGTGGTTCGTCTAGATTTGCCGAAATGGAGAGAGAAACTCCAGCGACAAAGCAGCGATTCCCTTGGCTCCGATCATCGTTGCACAGTTCGTTGCAGGGGGGAGAGAGAGAGAGAGGATATGGAGAAAACATGCCCTAAGTGAAGGGCTTTTATACTTTAACAAAAAAAAATGCATCTTGTTGCTAAGGAAGTTTGATGAGTGGACCTCAATAAAGAGAAAGAGCTATTTCCCTTGTTTGGCTAAAATCTCATAAAACAAGCCATGCCTTGTTTTTTATTTCTTTGCTTCAAATCTCTTTTTTTTCCCAAAAATTTGAGAACAAAAATACTAAGCAAACAGGTTTTAGGTGTTTTTGAAATTTTGAGAACAAAAAACTGTTTTCGAAAACTAAACCAAACACACCCAGAATATTTCAATGGCAGATCCAAGTAAAAAGATAATGACATTGGTTATTATAGGCCATAGGCTATAGTTATTTGCATAATGACATGAAAAGGACTTATTATCTACACAAAAGTGCCTTCTAAAAGGTAAAGGTAACCAATTTTCAATAACCACTCGTTGTTTAGCAGCAATATGAAAATGCAAGGTCAACGAACATTTTTCCAGATCTCCTACTTCAATAAAATATAAGTCCTAATTATAATCTATAATATAAAACAGGGTAAGCTTCAATAAACCTATCCGATGGTCTCAAATTGACTCATCCAATGACCACCAGCATCCCTCTTAAATTTTTACTGTGCCTGAAGGCATGGGTTACCCCTAGGTCTGCCACTCTTCTCATAAGGTGCTGAGGGTAGCCAAGATAATTGTCAATTAAATACCAAAACTTAAAGGAACAAACCTGCTGGAAGGTGCTGAGGGATGCCAAGATAGAACCTCCAATCCAAACACTATACTTCCTCTCAGGTGGAGCCACCACCTTGATTTTCATGCTGCTTGGAGCCAAAGCAGTAATTTCCTTGCTCATTCTATCAGCAATACCTGGAAACATGGTGGAACCACCACTGAGGACGATGTTTCCGTATAGATCCTTCCTAATATCAACATCACACTTCATGATGGAGTTGTATGTGGTTTCATGAATGCCTGCAGCTTCCATTCCAATCATGGATGGCTGGAAAAGGACTTCTGGGCATCGGAAACGCTCTGCCCCAATAGTGATCACCTGCCCATCAGGTAACTCGTAACTCTTCTCAACAGAAGAGCTAGTCTTGGAAGTCTCTAACTCCTGCTCATAGTCAAGGGCAATGTATGCTAGCTTCTCCTTCATGTCCCTCACAATTTCACGCTCGGCTGTGGTGGTGAATGAGTAGCCACGCTCAGTTAAGATTTTCATGAGGGCATCAGTGAGGTCACGACCAGCTAAATCAAGACGTAGGATAGCATGTGGGAGGGCGTACCCCTCATATATGGGGACAGTGTGACTGACACCATCTCCAGAGTCCAAAACAATACCTGCAGCATAAATAAACAGCAACCATAAACGCACAGCACACAGACTTCGTGTTCGCATACTGAACATGGCATAAATTACTGTTATAGGATGACTATTAAACAGAAAAACCACTTGTCAAAAGTTAACACAAAGGTTGATGCTATGTTATAAGCATGCAATTCATCAGCACCAAAACTAAAAAATGGCAGGTTTAGTAGATGTCAGACTCTTTTAATGTGCTTCCAATTTCTTTTTCTATGAAATGACATCAAATGGAAACTCCAAAGGTTTGTAGCACCCTGTACCAGCAAGTTTTTTGCTTTCAGGTAAAAATCATTAGATGGAGCACTGACACACAATTTAATAAAGACGATTCTTTATTCAGAAAAATAAAAATTGCATTTCCACTTTAATTTCAACCAAACACCAGGTGAATCTGCATCATCTAAAGATCATCCAACCAAAAAGTCAAAATGGATTGATGTTGAGACCTCAGATGTGTTAATATTTCTGAATTAGTTCCTTATGCTTAAGCCTTTTTGAGCTCCTCTCAGCTCAATAAGAAAAATAAAAAGGAAACAAAAGTAACAAATGCTGATCGACTCTGCATAGTGGGACAATACTAATACATTAAAGTGGACAGTCCAGAAATCATTGCAAATCTCTCTTCCTTCAAAATTAAACTAGTATTTTCCATACAATTTGATAACATTTAAATATGAATTCAGCAAAATGCTTACCAGTTGTACGACCGCTGGCATATAGAGATAAAACAGCCTGGATAGCAACATACATGGCAGGTGTATTAAAGGTCTCAAACATTATTTGAGTCATTTTCTCACGGTTAGCCTTTGGGTTAAGAGGTGCCTCGGTGAGTAGAACTGGGTGCTCCTCTGGGGCCACACGAAGTTCATTATAAAAAGTGTGGTGCCATATCTTCTCCATGTCATCCCAGTTGCTCACAATACCATGCTCAATTGGGTACTTAAGAGTTAGGATACCACGCTTGGACTGAGCTTCATCTCCAACATATGCATCTTTCTGGCCCATACCGACCATCACACCAGTGTGGCGTGGGCGACCCACGATGCTGGGAAACACAGCCCTTGGAGCATCATCTCCAGCGAATCCAGCCTAGAAATTGACATTGCATCAGAAAGAATGAAAAATAGAGATGGTCATCTGAAACTGTTCTTATGTTCAGAAGTTACAAATAACCGCAGAGACAACAAAATCCTAATTTGATACCTTAACCATTCCTGTCCCATTGTCACAGACGAGTGGTTGAATATCATCAGCTTCGGCCATCTCCTTTCAACAGCTGGACAAAATTCCCAGCATCAAATTAGAACACAATACAAAACCTAGACAGAATATGAAACACAAGAAGGTAAAGGGGTAAATGCTCACAGATTTTGACAATGTTGACAAATATTGCACATCAGTTACTAGTTATGTAGTTAATGATAAATCTTTTTTCTTGTACAAACTTAGTTTTAGAAGTTTTTATTCTCCAGCATATTAAGCAAACCAATGATGATAATGATCATAATAGTTGGCAACCTTTAGGCTTCAATTGACCACCAAAATCTGTTCAACTGAAGCTTCCTCTGGTTGAGCTTTTTGGAAGTACAACTTTTAAAGCCAAAAAGAGTGCGCATTTTGCTTTTTACTTATTGATGTTTGGCTTTTGCTTCCAACTAGAGGTAAAGGCATATTTAATGCACTTCTTTTGTACAATGTGTATGAAATTAACACCATGAGTTCTGCAATAGTGGCAGCAGTAAAACCTTCATCCTGAAGCCGGAGGATTAGGGATCCAATAAGATCCAATCCAACAAAGACATGCTCATGATCGCACAAATGCAAAATATCATCTAACAATGGGGTCTACATGTCGTCAACTGATTCTTTTACCACCAACTTGAAGGCAAAAAAACCACATAAACAAATAAATTCTAACAAGTCCAAAAATGGAAATTGTAAAGGAAAAACAATGCGTCTACACATAATCTGTCAACTAGGAAAAAAAGAAGGAGCCATCGTGTGGGGATATAGTTACATCCCGCCCTAGGTGCATCACTTCACCATTTTCAAAAAATACGCACAAATTCAGATCGAAGCATGTGATTACATACAGGACGGGGATTATGAATTGTCATCGTCATATCCAAAAAGCCATCACGACGGATGCATCTTATCTCATTTTCCAATCATTTCAAACCAAAGCAACTATCACGTGTGGATAATCCAAAAAAAAGCCTCCATCACTATAATTATAATGCCCTAGCCAAATTCTGTAAGGACAATTTGTCTTGAACATAAAACAAACATATAAAGTAATGGCATCAAAATGATCTACATTAGGTTAGATCCATGACCGTAGCCAGAAAACAACAGAAAAATCTTTGCAAAAAAATTGATTACGATTAATATACAATTGCCAACAAATTCACGAAAATGTAATCAATTCACCGTCAAAAAGAGAGAAAGATCCGAATCATCCACCAAAACCATAAACACCAAGCCCACTCCGTATCCAAATATGCGCACCACGTACAAAGAGACATCAGATCCATCAGACAAAAAAAAAACAATGACTGCCAAAAGAATCTCACGAAATCCACATCAAAAGCACGGAATTCACCAAAGCTTACAATGAAATTACAGTTTCTATAAACGACATTTCAAATCTAGAACCGGATTGAGCAAAAAAAAAAAAAACACAATCGAAAAATAACAAATTAACCGACCAAATTATCTACGGAAGGAAGAGAGAGTAGTGCTTGTGTGTGAGAATCGGTCAGCTGCCCGCGCCCTTTGTTGGAGTTTCAATTCAAAAAAAGATTCGGGGATGAAATGAAACCAACACCCAAATGAACATGAAATTCGCTTTAAATCCAAATTGCGCTTTGACCCCCGATTTTCTTGCTCTCTACAATCCTGGACATCCACTAATTTTATTTACCCACAGTCATTGATATGAGCCTCTAGCCAATGTGTGTGTGAATAGCAATTTCTTCTACTTTTTTATTCAGTTTTTTATTTAATTTTTTTTTTTTTATTTTGAGTAGTAGAAATAATGGGCCTTCTTCATTCCACTGTCCCAATGTAACTCATTTCTCTAAATTCACAATGAAATTAAGTTATTATTGGTCAAATCTCGTCCCCGGTCTTCCCAATTTTGTCCATGGGAGATACTATAAAAAATAGGGAACAGTTTGAATTTCATAACAACGGGTCGACTAAATACATGAGATCCTCTTCATTGTCGATTTAAAAAATTCAATTTTTACTCTTACCCAAAAAAATTATTTATGCACTTTGAATTGTTGACATCTAATCTATATTACTAATAAAAATATCTTAAATGAAAATTTTTTGATTCGCTATTTTACCCTTATAAAAAATTTTAATTGTTACATTATCTTTCTATAGTTAAATATCTAAATTATAATTACGTCCTTATATATTTAAATCTTTAATTTACCATCTAACATTTATTTTACTTCTCTATTATCTTTATATAAATATCAATATCTATAAAAAAAAATTAATTGACTATGTTACTCTTAAAAAAATATATGCATCATTATAGTTTTCAATAAAATGTTCAAAAATTTCATCAATATATCATACTTTTTTTAAATATATAAATAACATTATGACAATATATATGTATTTTTTTTTCATCTATACTACTAATAAAGAATTAAACTTTTGTCTTAGCATGAAAATTTTTTGATTCACTATTTTACTCCTATAAAAAGTTTTAAATACAACACTATCCTTCAATATTTTAATATCTAAATTGTCATCATATATTTATATGTTTAAATCTCCAAATTACCCTTAATATCTCTTTTAATTCTTTTTGTACTATGTATAAATATCACTATCTATGAAACTTTTTAATTAACTATGTTACATTTAAAACATATATGCATCACTATAGTTTTTAATAAAATATTCAATTTTTTTTAAAAAGATTATCAATTTAATATTACTCATTTTAAATATAAAGATAAAATTATCTTTACGTATGTGTATTTCTTTCATCCAAAATTTCAACCATTTAATTTTTAAGATAAAAAATAATTTTTTACGTAGTTTTTTTAAAATAATTTTTAATAAATTAGCATAATTCTTCAATCACAGTAAACTTTTCATATTTTATTAAGAGTTTATATAAAAAAATTATATTGTATTTTTAAGTAAAACTTAAATTTTAGAATTTTAATATTCTTTTAAAATATATATTATAGAGTAGTATATTATATTTTAAGATGAATATCATTTTTAGTCCCTAAATATATGTATATTTTGTCAGTTTGGTCTTCATTATATCAATTTTGTCAATTTAATTTTTAAAATATTTAGTTAATGTTTAAATTCATAAACAGACAATTTATTAAGTTTTTTATAGAAGTGATCATGTGATACTAATTGACGGAATAACATGTGGTTATTTTCGTCAAATAACTTAATGGACTATCCGGTTAAGAATCATTTAAACAAGAATTAATTATTTTTGAGACCAAATTGACAAAATTTATATACTGAGGACTAAACCGACAAAAAGCGCAAACTTTAGAGAACCAAAGTGTTATTAGTCCTATATTTTATCCCTATTAACCTAACTAATTATAGTAAGCATTGATTAGAATATTAAAAAATATTTTTATTTTATTTGATGAATTATAAGTTGAAACATAATCAAATGAATTTCAAATAAATTATTTTTATTTTTTTTATGCTTAAAACAATGAATCGTTGGGAACAAACAATATTTTTAAATCTATATAATAAAGTAGTTTACAATTCAAATCTCAAAAAATAAATAAAATGAATTTTGCTATTCACAGTTGAAATTGCTTTAAATTTTACTTTAAAATTAATCTAACCGTTAATATTAACACGCTAAATTTAATAAAAAAAAATAGGGGCCTAAAGGTGTGTTTGGAATAACTTTTTAAAAGTACTTTTAGAAATTATTTCTCATAATTACTTTTAAAAAATATATATTTGAAATCGCCTCACCATTACCTCCACCACCACCACCGCTATTACCGTCGCCGCCATCGCCGTCGTTCAACTGCCACCTCCCTCGCCACCACGGTCATTATCACCTATTACAACCATCACTGTCTCCTACTACCACCACTGTCACCCACCACCTCTCACCCTCACTACAAATCGATACTTAAATTTATTTATCTCTTCTCTATATTTGTGATTTGATTTTGGATATAAATACAAATATGTTTATTGTTTATCATTTTTTTATTACTCTGTGCCTTCAGACACAAGCAATAACTAGTTTATAATATAAAACAGGGCGGCTTCAACAACTCGATCCTATGGTCACAATTCATTTCATCTAACGGCTACCATTCTTTCTCTATCCCTCCCCCCAAATTCATCCCCTCTCACTCAAATTATATTTCAAAATTAGACCTCTCTCGGTCACCTCACTGTCAGACATGTCGCCTCCCCTCCATCTCTCTCTCTCTCTTTTTTTTTTTCAAAAAACAATTCCATTGCTTCATCTGTGTTTTGTGGTTTTTTTTTTTACTCCGCCAGTCCCTACTCTCTCTCTGTTACTCCCCAACGACACCACTAGCAACCCCACCACCACCACAACCACTTCGTCAGCAACAACACCACCAGCACCGTCGCTACTACTAACCCAGGTATTCCTCATCTCTCTTTTTTTTCTCTCTCTCTCTCTCACACACACACACACTAACCCCCCATCTACCCCCACCTCTTCTCTGCCCTTTCTACGCAACACCACCCCCGTCCTACCCCCCCATCCCTCACCCTCTCTATTACCACAAATCTCTCACCCTTTCTGTCAATGTCACTATTGCCAAGCTCAAAAAAGTCCACCTAACACCTCCACCACCAACCATAGACACCACATGTTTGACAAAAGTTCTTAGAGAGTTTTTGCTCAATTTCTTTGTTTATTTTTCTCTCTCATTTGTTTGTTCATTTTCCTGAAATCAAACTTTTTGTAGCTTACCAAAGAGGATTTGACAATCTCTTCGAAGAAACCTTCTTCTTGAAATCAATCTTTCTACCGATAGTTCTCAGTTCCACAACTGCGCTCAGACCTTTGACCAACAGGTGCAGCATTGCCCCTTTTTGTTCTCTCTTATGCTTTTCATGGTGTAAGTGGTTTCATTTACATCTAGAAGCTTGTCGATGCGTGTTTGTTCCCGTGTCAAGATGAGCCAGGGAAAACTCTGTATTTTAATCAATTTTAGCATGGTAATATTGTTGAAATTACCATGCTAAATGTCATGGTATTTCTGCCTTTTCAAACTCTCCACTTTTTCCATTTGTCTGGTTTCACAAAATTTTCATGTTTGATGTCTTAAATATGTTGGTTAGTCCATCTAATATGGCTACACATTTGATAGTGGGTTCTGATTTTTAACCTTTAAACCATGTCCACTTGTTGGTAAACCTTTTTCAATATTTTAATCAGGACAAACAGATAATAAATCATTCACATTGTTTTAGGTTGTGCATCTTTGACTTTTTTTCTAACTTGTGGCTTGAGATCATGTGTTGCAATCATGAAGGAGATCTTTCTTTTTCTTGGTTTTGGTAGTTAACTGTCAGCTACCCATGTGTGGACCTGTTTTACATATTTATACACTTGACTTTGGTAGCTTTTGTGGTTCCAACTAATATAGAACTCTTGCTTGCACAGGACTCTATTTTTCCTTTGCCTTTGCCTTCATGTTACTTGTTTATTAGGATATTCAATTCAATTCTATGACATTTCAAGTTCTTTCTGAAGCTTAGTTAGTATAGTGGTGGTTAGGAATTAGATTTGCTCGAATATGACATTTCAACTAATCAAGTTCCTATGTTGTGGTTGGCCCTTAAGTTTAATTCTAGACTGTCCATTGTACAAATAATAATGTGGCGAGATATCTAATGATAGAAAATGGTTAGTGTAGGAAATCAAGACGATCTACATTTTGGATAATAATTAGTTGGTTGTCTGCTTACATCATTAAACTATGGGCTACTGTTGAAGACATTTTGATGTTGTTGCACAAAAAGATTTTTTCTTTTTGTACAGAAGGTGGTGCAGTGCGTGTCCATTTTTTTGTTTTGGGTGGGGGTGGGGTGGGGAAGTTATTGCTTCGAATGCAGGGATTTAGGTTTGATCTTGAATAAAACACTACCTATCTGATGGAACACTGTATGTATTGTGTTAGATGGACCATCCCAGGGACTACCTGTAGTTATATTCCTGAAATTTGCTATTATTATTTGAGATTGTACAATCAATACGAGATCGTAGTGGACCCATGCTGCAATAGTGAGGCTGTCAGATAGTATTGTATAAATTTGTGGTAGATTTTCAAATAAAACATATTAAACATGGATGACTGTATAAAGGAATATCACATGCAACATATCAGGCATTCAAGTGGGCTGCCTAGTCAGAACTCTAGCATTGAATATGCATGCTTGTAATGTTTCCAAATTCCATCTGTTATACTTTCATGAATAAACAAATAAGAAAACTTAGGAATAAAGTAGGATGATGAATAAGGCAAGGTACCTTAAGATAGTGTATATGTGTCAGGAATAAGCCAGCGTAACGTGTAAGAACCTCTTCACACTTCTTACCATATAAGGAAATGTAAGGCTTTTGGTTCCTTTGACTTCTCTTCTCTAGGCCTTTTCTCTGCGTCATCTTCTTCTTCTTCTTCTTCCTCCTTGCCCTTTTCTAGGTCTCCAATCTCCACGC